ATTTTAATACATTTCTCACATACGCCGTAGCCACGTCGCCGTCAGGTATAGTTCCTACCATGACGTCGCCGTGACGTCGCCGCCGGTCTGTCGTCTGCCGTCCCTATCAATCCCATTCAAAAATCTACACGGACTGGCGGCGACGGAAGGGTAGACTGCTCCTTCTCCTTCTCCTGCTTAGCTTAGAAAAGGCACGAATCACTCGCCATACGACTGATTGCTTAGTTTGCAAAGCAGATGCACAAAATACACCTCATACAAAATACACCTCATAGGGGAGGAGTGAAATAAGCGCAGTCCAGACGGACAGTTCTGACTTCTCGAAGTGGAACAGATACCAACGAGATCAAAGGCAGATATCGCGTTATTCACACTCATGTGCTGTGTTGCTAATAAACGTGATATAATTTCAGTTCTGTTGCTTTTATGAAAATAAATATGATGAACACGACTCAACAAGACTCAAAGAACTCAAAGTGCTTGCTATTTCTTTCCATACGAAAGGCGTATTTATCATCCATTTTTACTTTAATGCAAACATGTATTTTAGATTTTTATAGAAATATGACAACAATCACATATCTCACAGAGATCGCACTGTCATGGTGTTTGGGAATATTCATGCATAATTTATATACATAATCACTTGAAATCAGATTAAAAAAAAATAAAACATTTTAGACGAGAACGCAGCATCACGGTTGTCTGAACCAATGAGCATTAAGCTGTGTCGTCAGTCAGTCGTTTCCCATCATGCTTTTGATCAGCGCAGTCGGTGGAGAGCAACTACACAGCCGCCTCGCCGTCGCGAGAGTTTTTTGGCACACGTCAGCATGACATCAGAGCAAGTCAGACGTAACTCGGACACTTTTCCTTTCCACTTTTCGGACACTAACCGGCATGCATCTCGCGGTGATCACCGGTGATCGGTTCTGCGCAGATTTTGCTCATCTCAAACAAGCCTATTTAGCTGAATGTCCTGCTCTGTCCATACAACAAAACAAACAGGAGTGATAGATATTGAATAGGTCGAATAAGTCGTTCATTTGTGATCTTGGCTTGTGTTTTAGCTCTCAAATATTATCTTGAATATGGATTACAAAGCATTTGAGGACAAGTTTATGTGCATGTCTTTCCTTATATGGTGTCAAGAGCGCTGCACTTTCTATTGTTTGTAGGCTAAAGGATTTTTAGTAAATAATAAGACTACAGAGCAATTAATGAACATGAAACATTGACAATAAATACAGATGTTGGCCATATGCCACACCCACATAAGATGTTTTGTGGGACTAAATGGATTTAAGCATGCACTTCAATTCAATTCATGTTTATTTGTATAGCGCTTTTCACGATACAAATCGTTGCAAAGCAGCTTTACAGAAAATTTAAGTTACTACTTTATATTTAGGAGTAGCTTATCAGTGGTGACTATGTCAAAGTGATGTCCATATGGCAGAAATGTACAGTAAAAATCATGCAGTTAGTTAATGACATGTATTCAAACAGACAGTGAACACAATGATTATATGTTGCGATCAAACTTATAGCAAAATCTGGTCGTTTTGTATGTTGGTTCAGGGTTGGCATCATCTGAGGTCCTCTGAGGGGTTGGGATCATCTCTTCTCAGGTGTTCGGTCATCTCAGATCTCTGCAAGGGTTGGATCCAGACCGAAGCTTGTGTAGCCTAATTCCTAGTTACCTCGGGATGCCAATCCCTTAGCAGAAAAAGAGAAGCAAACAGAGAACAATTAGCGTACCTGCTGTTCAACCCAAACAAAAGAATGCTAATGTGCATTTGATCAGATATAACAAGTACAAGGTTGTGAGATACATTATGTGAATGCTTGGCTAATTAAATGTGTCTTTAATCTAGATTTAAACAGAGAGAGTGTCTGAACCCTGAACATTATCAGGAAGGCTATTCCAGAGTTTGGGAGCCAAATGCGAAAAAGCTCTACCTCCTTTAAGTGGACTTTGCTATCCTAGGTACTACCAAAAGTCCCAAGTTTTGCGACCTGATGGATTGTAGCATGATAGAAGACTAGTTAGGTACACAGGAGTTAAACCATTTAGGGCCTTATAAGTAAGTAGTAATGTTTTGTAGGCCTATCTGATACAGAATTTAATAGGTATACCTATAGCAAGTGCAGAGACTGTAAAATTGAGGTAATATGATCATATTTTTCTTGATAATTTTCTTTGACCTGGTAAGGACTCTAGCAGCTGCGTTTTGGACTACCTGTAGCTTGTTCATTCAAGATGCAGGACAACAACCTAGCAGTGCGTTAGTCCAGCACAATAGTCCAGTCTTGAGGTCATGCATGCATGAACTAGCTTTTCTGCATCAGAAACGGGTAACATGTTCCGTAGCTTGCAATGCTGTTTTGATAACATGTGAAATATGTTATTGGCACCTATTGTAACATAAAGCATAATAAAATTAGCTCAAATATTTCACACAATATCATGCATGTATCATGATGTGTAGTTTGTGAGTCACAGGCGTACAATCCAGCAGAAATCTGTGGTGCTTTCAGATTCCACATGACCATACTTATATAGATATTTTAGTGCATAACCGCTAAGAACCTTAATGTGATTGCACCATACATTTAAAAAAAAAAATGGTTGTGCAATATGCAGCTCGAAAAACCTCAAACCTCAAAGCTCTCATTTCATGTAGCAGTCTTTTTCCTTTTTTGGCTGTGCTGTGTTGTCAGTGCCCAACCCATGGCACTGCAAACATGACAATGCAAGCTGCCATTTAAGATATTTCGAATAAACATCTTAAGTGGCATCAGATTTATTTACACAGACTGTTTAATGTCGATCAAGGGTGGCATGAATGCTCTTAAAACAATTATAATAATAAACAAATATAATAAATAATGTTATAAAATTAATGTTTTAAATATAACAATTTTAACATGTATTAAAATATTAAATATTAAAAATATTAATATTTTAAAAAAATTATTTTGGGAAAATAAATTATGTTTAGCTGTAGTTATATAGTTTATATATAAAACTAAAACCTCCAGTAGTCGTTATTAAATTAATCATCAATGAGGAATCGAACATCTGTGCTGCTCGGAGATGCGCAACGCTTCTGCTTACTTGCTTTTGAACTATTTTCGTTGGAGATATAGAGCAAAACAGACAACAGGCTACTGTGTCTAAAATGTAAGTCACTTAATATTAACAACTTCTTTCTGAACTGTATAAAATAAATACATTTCAAATTTGCAATCTCATGTTCGGTAAAACAGCCCTCTTCTTCCTCTGATATTGCTTAACTGTAAAAAAAAAACACACGAACATAGGGCCATACAAAAGTCACTGACACTTGGTGAGAAAACGGACGTGAGGCCTGAGAACAGTTGGCAGTAATCATGTTAAAACCGTTACACGTCCGTGCGAACAAACAAACATAAATACATACATGCATAAATAAATAAATATCAGAGTGGAAGATATTTCAGGCCCAAGTAGGCTATAACAGTCCAAAGATTTGACACATAACAATGATTTTTAATGTTAATTTCTCGTGAACTTTGATATTAGTTTGCTATTTACCCTCCTATAACAACCAAATGTAAATGAGAAAAAATGTTCTTTGCGTTGAGACTGTTCTTTCTGTCCTAAAACACCCCTGAAAAAAATCTTGCATGGATCGGGTAAGTTTATTTTGCATGCAAAAATGATTTCATGGAAGCTATTATGCAGCTTTTATTTGAAATAATGCTATATGCTTGTTGGTAGGTTAGGACACTTTAAAGAATCTAGCAAAGAGATACGCTTTGACCTTACATGACTGTGCTCAACAACTGCGCTGGGGTGCTTTTCCCAAAAGCAAATGGTCGCAAGTTCCGTCGTTACCAATCAGTGTTGCCAGATTGGAAATGTCCAAGTATCGTACCAAAAGCTCAAAATTATCGCATTTGGAAGAAAATGATCGTACACGAGTCAAACGTACAGAATACAGCTATTTATCTAAACCAACAACTTTTTTGACACGACCTGCAAATTACCACAATAGATAACTAGGCGTACCGTGTTTACATTGGACGCGAGCAGTGCGACAAAATACTATAGAAACCATTATAATCAGTGACTGTTTGCACTGGATGCGACACGACACGTCACATCCCCGGCAGTAAACTGATGCCTCGTTCTATTTATGGCGTATTAAAATGATTTTTAACACTCGCTTTGTCGCGTCCAGTGTAGACAGACTTTAGCTGTTAACTCCACATCTGAGCCGCTGTCATCGGAAGCCTGCGTGTTGCCAGATGTTGAGGGGGTTCTTGCCGTCATGGACCGCAACAGTGCTCGTTGGCTTTAAAGCAGGGCACCCTCCTGCATTCTTAACACACTCTGAGGTGTGCATGAGCTCATTTAGAGTGTCTGTAATGAGTCGATTTCGTGTATGAATATAGAATCCCTATGACTATAACTACTATCATTTGAATTGTCGTAAAATTATGAAATTATCGTACATTATGGGATTTTTTTTTTCATTATTTATCGTACATCGTACAGAGGTCAAAAAATATCGTACAAATACGATAATTATCGTACGTCTGGCAACACTGTTACCAATAGAGAAAGGCACCCCTGAACTGCTGAAGGGGTGGAACTGAAACTATTTTATTTTTTTACAAACCAGCAAGTAATGCTGATGAATCTGCGAAATCATTTTCGAATAAGGGAAGCTGGTTAACCTGTTTCACAATGAATAATTCCTGTTTTCATAACCATCTCTCTAAATTTTTTGTAAGTCACTTTTGAGGCAGCTAAGCAGGGTGAAACAAAACCACTCGTCTCTTAAACTGTCACAATAAAGGGAAGTGTGTAAGGTAAGTGGTTAAATCTTTGGTTAAAATATTGAATTCGTAATGTATGAACTTAATACATTAGAATTTGAACCTTTAATTTGTATGATCAGTTTATCAATTAATTTGTATTACTCAATAACCCACACCTACATTTGTTTGCAGTTTCAGTTTTTGTATACTGTTTGACTAGTCATACTTTTACAGTGTTTACTTGCAGTTATTTTATTTACAAGTCCTTCTACTTTCAGAAAGCATTTCTGTCACACTGATTCAGCCATGAATCTGATCTTGTGGGGGATTGTGCTCCTTGGGATTTATGTCCAGCAATCAGGTTGGAAATGTTTTGTGATTACATATAAATATTCAGTCATATCTACATAAATATTAAGCAAAAATATTAATGGCTGACTGACTTTTTTCTCAAATACTTTTTGTACCGACTTTCAAATTATCTTTTTTTTTTTTTTGGTAAATGATCTGTTTTTGTACATTATAATTAGTTAGTAAATCCCTTAAACAACTGAATCGTGCAAAAAAAAAGTTTTTAATATTAATGCATCCTGATCATCTGTGCCATGGCAATAATACCAGGCAAAACATGTAATAAATATTTAATTCTTTAATTAATTCAGTGTGTTTCTGAAGTTTCACAGATGGTGGACTGTTTTTCATCATTTACCCTGTCCACTGGGAAATGTAGTGGTCTTTTGGGTCAAGTTAAAAAAGATGACTGTTGCTTGAACTCCAACTATGGCTACAAAGAAGCAGATGGCGTTTGTAGGTCCTGTGGGTGAGTTTCAATGATGTGATGCTTATAATGTCCAAAAACAGATAAATGTCACATTGAGCTTCATTGCTGTTTATTAGATTGAAAAAACAGATGTTAATTTTAAAATGGGAGAACTACTTCCTATTTCTTAATAAAGTTTATGTTTTCCTTAAAGCTTATAACATGCAGACATTTTCACTTTAAATAAATCAGCATGAAATGAAAATTCATCTGTTATTGGTAAATGCATGTTATAGGTCTTGAAAATGCATTCATCCATGCAAGTTTCTTTTTTATTTTTAAATAAAATGTCATAATCTTTCAGTGAAAATGAAAATGACAGACTTCTTTCTGCTGACTTCTTCAATCATTTAGTCCACTGAAATCCCACACCATCTCAACCGTCTGCAAGTTTGTATTAATTTTTGAGTGCAACGCCCACATCTCAAAATCTAATCATCAACTGATGTATTTTAACTTTTTTCTATAATCCGTTACATTTTGATGCATGTCACAATATGGCAGAGACGATCTGTCGTTACTTCCATTACATCGCAACTTTAAAATAATGCAATGTTAATGGTCTTTTTTGTGGAAACCTTTATAAATAGTATTGCATTTCTTATGAAAAGAAAATACATTGGAGATTTTCACCAATCACCATTTTACCTTTCAGATAATGTAACTCTTCCGGCTGCTGAATCAGCTGAACTGAAATGAATGAGATCAAATGATGCGCACAGCATATCCCTTAAAAATGTCTTGTATGTTGATTGTTGCCCTCCAGGCGGCCGGCGTGGTCTGAATGGACTCGCTGGGGCGAGTGCTCGGTGAGTTGTACAGAGGGAGTCAGCCAAAGGCGAAGGTCTTGTTATGGAATTGGTGATTGTGCAGACCCTGAAAAACTAGGAAAAGTTCAAACTAAACCATGTGTGAAAAAAGATTGCTGTCCAGGTAGAAAGAACATTAAGCAATTGTTACATTTCAACATAAAGGTTTCCATGTCCTTTCTCATGTTTCTGTATATATATTGTCCAGTTGAAGGTGGCTGGTCAGAGTGGGGGGAATGGCAGCTATGTTCAGTCACATGTGGCAATGGAATGAGAAAGAGACGAAGAACATGCTCTAAACCCATTCCACAATGTGGGGGCTCCTGTAGCGGTGCAGAGGAAGAAACCACCAATTGCTCCACTGAAATAATCTGTCCAAGTAAGTATAGTTTTCTCTCTTTTTTACTTACTAAAGATACTGAAAATTCAAAACATGTTCTCATTTGATGTCTAGCTCATGGCGGGTGGTCCAGTTGGGGAAATTGGGGTCCCTGTCCAGTTACTTGTCTTTATGAAGGACGCAAACCTGAAAAAGAGCTTCGTACAAGGACATGCACCAACCCTCCTCCATCTGTGGTTCCACGTGGCAATGACTGCGAAGGCTCCGACACAGACGGCCGTCCTTGCAGCGGACGACCTTTCTGCCTAGGTAATATACTACACTGTAAAAAAAATTCCGTAAAATTTACGGTAAAAAAACGGCAGCTGTGGTTGCGAAACTGATAAGAAAAAAACTAAGAAGAAATGTAACGCAGGGAATTCTGGGAATGTCAAATTATACGGTCTTTTTCACTTCCAAAAACGGTATACTACCGTAAAATTAATGTCCAATACATGTAATGTCCAGTACAGTTTTTCACCGTATATAGTAGGGGAATTTACCGTTAACCATTTAACAGGTTTTTACTGTAGCATTTTTACAGTCTTTTACCGTTAAATTCACTGTCATTTTTTACAGTGTATGTTGTCTTCTATAAAACAGCCAAACATACAAGAGGTTTTTAGAAACCACAGCTTTATATCTCTGCTCCACAGTTGATGGAAACTGGGGCGCTTGGACAGGTTCCACACCCTGCTCTGTGACGTGTGGAGTGGGCCAGCAGACTCAAAGACGGATGTGTGATTCTCCTAAACCCGCATATGGTGGAAGACAGTGCCGAGGTGAAGAGCAAAAAACTGGTGTCTGCGTCATTGCTGTCCCCTGTCCGGGTAAGTAGAGTGACACGATTTATCTAAACAGACAAAAAAGAATCGATTGTTTAACGTTTAACATTTTTCTCTCTGTATTTTTTTGTGTCAGTAAATGGGATGTGGACCGAATGGAGTGAGTGGAGTCCATGTAGACCTCCTTCCACTAGAAAAATGAAATGCAATACCAGGGAGGGAATCCGAAGGAGAGAGAGGGACTGTGTTGATAGAAAACACAATGAAAGCGTCTGTGAAGGAGAGATTGTTCAACATGGCAACTGCTATGACATTAGCGACTGTGACAGTGAGTGCAAAGAAAAATCATAGCTGTGTCTGAAATGGCATTGCGTCTAGTAGGCAATAGATTTAGTTTAAAGCTCACTTTTACGACATTAAAAAAGTATGCTCTGTATAGAATGAATACGGGTAGTATGAATTAAATTAGGACATACTACCTCTGCAATGTTGTCACTGTCAAGTGACCTACCAGCCTTCACTGCCATTCACAAATCCTCTTCTGTGGTTTCATGGGACAGTAAAGTGTCCATTGGATGCCTACTTCAGAATCTCAAGAGAGGTAGTAGGTCATTCAGGTACTTTTTGCCTACCGTTTTTTGCATACTATGAATTTGGACATATTCTGTTGCCGTACTGTTTTTGGCATACTATAAATTGTATTGAAGTAGGCATATTCAGGCGCAGCCACGCAGCATAAGCTACATAAATACAAAGCATGCTCATTTTTATTGTTTAGCATCAAATTGTGTCACATTTTGTAAAGTGAGTGTTTAAGATTACTGCACTTCAAACAAATTGTATAATCTCTACATATTGTGAATGATGATATTAGAGGATGGTTTTTCCTAGTTCCAGACAAAATTAGGATTTTCCAAAGCATCGCAGGTGTAAGGTATTGTAGGTATAAAGTAACAAATAACTCTTTGACTGTGTCCAGTGAAGGGCGTCTTGTCAGAGTGGAGTGAGTGGAGTTATTGCAAACCTTACTGTGGGCGATACTCTGAACAAACAAGAGAAAGAGAGTGTGTTGCTGACATCTCTAAATACCGGTAGGAGAAAAAACATCTCATGCTACTAACTGAAATAAGACATTGTCTATAATAAATCATAGGTGTGCAATTTCATTACATTCATACTGTAGGTTGTGCGTTGTTTAACAATCAGTTTTCTTTGGTTTTCTTTATCTCCTATAGTTCCCAAGACCGCAGTATTTTTGCAGGGGATCCATATGTTAACTGTGAGGGTTTGGAAACACAAATAGAGAGAAGAAAATGCACAAATGTTCCTGAGTGCAAGGATGAGGTTGTAATTTTATGTTCAGAGCTTATGTATATTCTTTTTTGTTAATTAAAGTGAAAACATTTTCATTTTAACAACATATTCTTACTGTTTTCCAGAATGAATGAGCAGTCTCCAGCTGCCTTACACAGTACCAGCAGCTGGAAGGACCTCAACATGCCAAGCTGTTCTCTTATGAAATGTGCTACTAACAGAAAAATACTTGCTTTATTAGCCTTTGTGATATGGATTGGATTGATTGTTGATTGATGCACATCTTTGTAAACTGCTTTGCTGCCACAATAAAATTTTAAAGTACTGCTTCGTGATGTAGTAAATGGGATAATTAGATACAAACGCTATTACTGGTTATTCTAAAGAAGAAAAGATGCGAGCCAACCAGGAGTCGAACCTTGAATCTTCTAATCCGTAGTCAGACGCGTTATCCATTGCGCCAAGGCCGGCGCCTATTACTCGAGGTAAAGATCCTAGAAGAGGCACAGCGACGCGAGTTCGCGGCCCGCTCCGACCAGTGATGGAATTCCTGGAATGTGTCCGTTTTGACGCTGCTGGTGCACGCGTGTCATCATTTTAATTTTAATCAAACGTAAATTCGTCCCCCGCACTTTAATTTGGGCACTCTCCAACGTAAACACTCTCTTGTTATGTACGTTACTGGGCGGAATCGTGGTTGCGATACGAGCGCTGATTGGCAATAGCATACGTTTCATGGTTGCAGCCGGGAACGTGATTGGCTGTCATAACAAAGAATAACCACGACCTACAGGTGACATGAAGCGCCACTGGCCCAACGAGTACACCAATAGACCACGTGACTCTATGTAGTATGACCGTACCAGCTTCCTCATTTCGAAGACTGCTGCGCCCTCCTGTGGTCGCATTTTATGGTCGCAACTTCATTAAGGCTGCCTCATTTCAGAAAAGTAACGATTACATTCCAAAGTAAAAAACAAAACAAAAACAAATTACTATTATGTCCCAAGACAAATAACAACCAATTTTATAACGGTTACTTTTCTGAAATGACACATCCTCGATGAAGTATGCCGACCACAGGAGGGCGCAGCAGTTTTCGAAATGAGACACAGCGACTTGTTTTGTGTGTAATGGTTTGGCAATATTGTATGTAAACAGTCGAGTCAATAAAGTACTTTTAAATTGAAATTAAATTGACTATAGACGTTCGAAAGACAATCCTTTCTTTTCTGGAAGACTATCCCATAACAACTGGGTATGTTTTCATTTAATTAAATTGTTTGGCAGAGACATCATTATGATCACAAACTGAAAGCATCGCATATTTATGTCTACTTAACTGAATACATGACCGTGACGGTATTATTTTACATCTGTATACTACTGCCATATACATATACATAAAAGTCACAGATAAACGACTATCTACATATAAGCATCACCCGCCGAAATAGCTCAGTTGGGAGAGCGTTAGACTGAAGATCTAAAGGTCCCTGGTTCGATCCCGGGTTTCGGCATTTTGATCCAAAACAATTATATTTAATGGACTACGCCCATAGACTGTATAAAAACAGACTACGCCATAGAACCTCCAAACGTCTCAAGAAAGAAACCTGTGCCTTATAACATGAATGGAGAGAACAGAATGCATGTGTTCATTATTTTGTGAAAGAACCAGGAAAAATTAAATAGTTTTCTTTGAGTTTAAGATGATGGTTGTTCATTTTGAGTTTAAAAATATATATAATTTAAACATGCCATAACTTAAAGGGGTCATATGATGCTGCTAAAAAGAACATTATTTTGTGTATTTGGTGTAATGAAATGTGTTTATGCGGTTTAAAGTTAAAAAAACACATTATTTTCCACATACTGTACATTATTGTTTCTCCTCTATGCCCCGCCTTTTTGAAACGCGTCGATTTTTACAAAAC